ATATTGGGTTATGCGGTTTTATACAAAGAAAAAGGCCAACAAAACAGTTTCAGGTTGAACACAACATCGACAGACACCATAATTAGGCGCTTGAAACCATATACGGAATACTGCATCCAAGTTCAAGGGTTCACAAAAGCTGGGGAGTCACCATTCAGCCCCTGCTTTGATGTCAGGACATTGGATAAAGGTATGTCACCTTTAAATTAACTTTGATTTATCATCATGCTTGAATTAAGGAGGTTGTTAATTAGCAAAACAAACACAACGAAATCGATGGTAAAATAACTAAACAGTTGAATGAGACGTAAATCAGTGTCAACAACATTCAACTTCTAAAGAAAACGTTTGTTTCTGCTTTTCAATACAATGTTTTTCTTGAGGTGCAGAATAGTAATTTTATAGGCACAGGGAAGTCTCTAAATTGAAATGGCCAAAACTCTGCTGGTGTTTTTTTGGTATGTTACCCCAGCACCCTCTCCCCCGCCGCGTTCCTATCCTAAGCTACGCCCTTGAAGAGAGAGAGCTGTGAATAAGTTGAGGCACTTCCAACTGCACTTTGTTATGATTGGACCAGTCACACGTGTACAAATCCTGTACTGTTAACTTTTTGGATAGGTCCAAGCCAACCACTCAATGTTCAAGTTCAAGCCGTTTCTTCCGTTGCAATCCTTGTAAAGTGGGATGCACCAGCTCACCCTAATGGAGAAATAAAAGAGTATATAATATTTTATGGAACCAGGAAGGATGTGCAGAAAAATGAGCGAAAAGTAACTGGAAACACGCGGGAACGTACTATAGATGGCTTGCGCAAATATACCACTTACTATGTGAAAGTCAGGGGTAGTACCTCGAAACCTGGAAATGCTTCTGAAATATTCAGTGTTACAACTTTCGAAGATAGTAAGTATATACTAATGATTCAAGTATTTCAAGTGTTAATTGAATTCCGGGAAACGTCTTTTAGACCTTTTTACCTGATTGTTCATGTTGTAAAGCGCCAGACTGCCGTGTGGGAAGTCGAAGGTCCAAACCTCATACCGGACCAACTCTCAGGAATGTGCTGCCTTTGTTATGACGTCTGGAAATGGTTAGTCATTCTAGTTTTCTCAGAGGAGGACGAAAACCTGAGCCTTAAAGAACGCACGCACTTCATGCAAAGAATA